GACAGTAAGTCGTCACATCAGTTTGTGACAGTAAGTCACATTCTAGAGATATCCTGTACATGATATTTCAAATGAAATGCAATATCATGAATAAAATAATAATCATATAAAACTAGTCACAATGATATTGTCTTACCATTGGTAGATACCTCTCGACTGCCTAAAAACATCAACGAAACCCAATCACAATATGAAACTAACAAAACAATACTTTAATGGTCTTGYAGCATTAGCAATRCGTGAGGAGGAGGGAGTTTCTTASATACAAAATGCTCAATATGACGTCATAACATCAACGTGACGTCATAGAAATACGTAGACGTCTAAAGGAATATTTGCTCACTGTAATTGTCAAATGTGAGATTATCATATTCTACTTTCTTGCATCAGAAACCTATAAGGGACTTGAAACGTGTAACGCCGTGCCAACCCTTGAAATATTAAAATCTAATTTGCATCTCATTTCCTTATTTGGAACAATTAAAATTTACCCTATATAGCCAACCAGAACGGGACTTAAATCTCGTATCGGGGCTTAAATCTCAAATATGGAAGAAGGACGATAGATCCTTGATCTAAATTTTTCAATTCTCATCGCCATAACAGGTTCTTGTATACAGGTTCTTGTATAAATGGTAGTTAACACAATTTTAAACTACTCAGGTTCTTAAAATAGATTCTTAATTCTAGAGTAAAGCAAATAAAACTTAGCTTTAAAACAAGATATAACTCTTTTTACATTCATCTTCATCTTGTTTTTCTTCAAATAGGAATCTTGCTCTGAAGCTGTATTGCGACTTAAATGATTTAAAAATTAAGAACGWGGGCTATAAGATCCAAATCTTAGCCTAACAGGTTCTTAATTTTTAGGCTCTTATATGYGGTTTTCTACTGTATATTGAGAAAAATTGGRAGACATTGATCTAGTTGAACTGCTCTGTCAATTGATGGATGGATGCAAGGACGGTTGGACTATATTTGATTAGCAATACTTACGACTTACCGGTATTTGTACAAGATTCTCCACCTTGAAATTTAAACAATAATACTTATCGTCTCAGGTCTCACGCTCATATTGCATATATTACAATTCCAAGTGTRGCAAAAATAAAATAAAGGAAAATAAAATGAATAATAAGATAAAGAGAAAGGAAAACGAGATAATTAAAGTGTAATAAAGGTTTGTGCACTAAAGTGTTTTTTTTTAAAAAACGTAATAATCATCATTTGTAAATAGGATGAAGGACATTGTTTTGTTGGTGGAATACCATCATTTATTAGTGCCAATTAGCACATAGTTGACATATATAGACACATTGGAGTAGGATGTCTGT